AACTGCGGTTCCTGCACCGCGAAACCGATCAGCCCCAAGAGCAAGCGGGTTCTGACGCGGGCCACAGCGCGGCGGCACCCGAAGTCCTCGCGCTGAGGGGAATCAGCCCGCACCGGAGGACGGACGCTGTAGGATCCCACTCGGAGGGCACGTCCGGGACACAAAGCTGGACCGCGCTGCGGCCGCGGGGACAGGGCAAGGGGAGCGGGTGTTTCCTGCGCGCGGACTCCCTCGCGGGGACCGGGAACGTTCGGAGAACAAGGGGCAACGCGGGACTCAGCGAAGGCCGAGAACGGCGCACCTGAAGGGTCTTAAGGGGCCGATGTTCTTCTGTTTGTCACCGTGGAAAGCGAACGAGGGACGGACGCGTGTCACAGCGCGGACGGACACTGAAGACAGCCGCGGCGACTGAACCGTATGGAAACCGCGCTCGGACGGCGCCGTCCGTGCCCCGCAAGTCCGTCCGGTTCCCAAGCACGGAACGTGCTGGAAGCAGCTCCGGAAGGAGAACACGGCCGAGAGCGGGAAGACGTCGCGGACGGGGCGGCAGGCGGCGGCCGCTGACGGGGGCCTGCGGTCTGGGGGCCACTGCGGGCGCCGTCAGCCGTTCCTCACCTGGGGTTCCGTGGGGGTTCCGCGGGACCGTGTCGCTGTGTGGGGCCAAACGCCCCGAAGCAGCCCGTGCGACGCGCAGACGTGGTTCGGAAGCGACGGCGGGGGGTCTTCGTGCGGGGACGGCGCGTCTCTCTGCGGCGGCGGCGACACGGTCCCGCAGATCCGAGGTCACCGCAGAGGACGCGGCGCTTCCCGACACCCCCACGGCACCACGTCGCAGGAGCAGAGACGACGTCGGACTCCGGGAGGGAGGCCGAGCCCGCCGGGTCCAGGTCCCCCGCGCGGACGGGCCACTCGCCCTTGCAGGAGGCCGCGGCCGCCGGACACTCGCTGGAGGACGGAGTCGGGGCGAGTCTCGGCGCGGCAGACGCGGCGGGACTCGGGGTCCCAGGTCCCCGCGGCGCCCCCACAGCCCAGTCGGAGCCGTGAGGAAGCGGGTCGGGCCTCGGGACGGCGGCCGCGGAGCCGGAGCGGCCGCGGGAAGGGGGCGGCTCGGCGTCGGTCCCGGGAGCGACCGTCCGCCCCGGACCCGCGTCAGGAGCCGCCGCGGGAGAGACGCCCCCGTCCCGGCCCGCGGGGAAGCGGCGGGTCACGTCCCGCAGGGAGTCGCCGTCCCGCCGCCGGTGAGCGTCCCCGACGCCCGAGCCCGGCCCGTCGTCCTCCCCGGACCGGCCTTCCCCGCCGCCGCCTCCGTGAAGCCGCGGTCGCTCCGCGCTCCCGGCGCCCGCGGGGACGTGGCGGGGACGTGGTTCGCTGCCCGGACGCCGCCCGCCGCCCCCAGACGCGCCCGCGGAGCCGCCCAGAGCCGGAGCCGCCCAGAGCCGGGGCCGCAGCGCGAGGCGACGAGCGGACACACTCACGCCTCAGCGTCCGCCCGAGCGACCGGCGGGGGAACCTCGGGGCAGCCTCGTCCGCCGCGTCCGCAAGATCGAGACACGGGGAGCCCCGACCCGGGAGGGGACAGGCCGGTCCCTCACAGCCGCCGCCGCTGACCGCGGACACGGAGGGGACGCGCGGGGACGGGGACGCCCGGGGCTCGGGAAGCACCCGCCGTCCCCGCCGCCCTCTACACAGTCCGCCGTCGCTCCCGGACGCCCGGACTCCGGCCGGCCCCGCGCGGGTGTGGACGCGGGAAGGACGCGCGGGGCCGGGCGGGCGGGGCGGGGGGAGCGCGAGCCCCGAGGGGGCGGCCGCGGCCGGACCTTCTGCGGAGCCCCAGGAGCCGCGTCCGCGGCGCACAGACACAGCCCCGACCCGGGGCGCATCCGAGCCCGGACAGGGGGGACCCCACAGCCCCGCGCTCAGCCCCGGGGAGGCCGCCGCGCCGCACACAAAACCGCGGAAGCCCACGGTCTACACCGCGCGCCCTTCCTCCGGGTGTCCTGAGACCACGCGCCCCCTCGGCAGTGCCCGCTCTGGCGGCTTCTGCTCACCTTCTGCTCCAGAGGCTGGTCCTGAGGAGGCCGGAGGGCTGTCAGCGTGGACGAGGACCCACGTCCCCCACGGCGAGTCCTGTCAGCGTGGGAGCGGCCGCTCGTGCTCCAGGAGCCTCCACAGCGGGTCCTGAGGAGGCCGGCACCCGTCCCAGCTGCGGCTGCGCGGGCCAGGCTCCGGCGGAGCCACGGTCCGGCGCCCTCTGCAGGCGGTGGAGGGCAGTGCAGGACTGGGGAGCTCACCCTTCCGTGGAAGCACCTGCTCCCTCCCGGGGTCCCGCTGAAGCCATTTCATTCTGGAAACTGCAGCTGCATGGAGCCCAGTATGCCCCGACTTCTCCAAACATACCTAAGGAGCAATGAATCGGAAACACTGTGGAATGACAACAGTCCCTGACCCAAACGGTGGCACCAATCATGACCCTGGCACTGACCAGACCCGCACTCTGACCTCAACTTGCTCTCAAGCCTGGGCCTGACCCAATCCAAGAGCCTAACCCCAGCCCCCAACCCAAACAGTGTTCACAAGAACCGAAGGTAGAAGCTGCAAATACCCATCAGTGGTGTGTGCATAAACGAACTCTGGTGAAGGGTTTGGGTCTGGGTTCAGGGTCAGGTTCCAGTCAGAGTTCTAGATCAGGGTTTGGGTTTAGGGTCAGGGTGAGGATTCAGAGTGAGGGGCGAAGGAACAGTTAGAGTTTAGGGCTTTAGGTTTATGATTTAGAGTTTAAGACTCAGTGCTTCTGGGATAAAGTCCAAGGTCAAATTTGGGGTTTGGATTCATTTTGGGATTTGGGTTCAGGTTCATGCATCAGAGTTCTGGTTTAGGGTTTGGGTTCGTGATTCAGGGCTTGGATCCAGGGCTCAGGTTCAGAGTCCAGGCTTTGGGTTCAATTTTAGGTTTGGAATTGAGGGCTCCAGACTGGGCTTTAAGGTCAGGTTAGGTTTCAGCATTAAAGTTAGGGGTTAAGGTTAGGTTTAGGGATGACACATTTTCTTCAGTTGTCATCATGGACCCAAAATTTCTATCTGAAGTTTCTAAATCTGAAATGCATTTCATCTGGGTGTCAGGAGCTCATTTAGAATTTAAGATCTCAGTAACTCCCTACTGACAGCATACTGATCCCAGGGTCTCCCAGTCACCCAGAAATCGCTTTTGTCTTGGCTCAAACAAAGGGCAAGTGGCTCCCAAAGTTGGGATGATTTCACTATGGTAATGGTGTGAATCCAAATATTGTGGACCTGTTCGTAGAAAATGAAACAGGAGACGAATAATTGGTTGACTCCTGATTCTTCCACAATAGCAAAGACCAAGTTTCCAATAGAATCTGATAATGTTCCCTTAGGAAGGACTATGGTCCTCATTACCTGTACTGAAAGAGGGCCCCCTCCCCTGCTTTAAACTAGGAATCACAGCAGGATATTTCCTACTTTGTGTCAAAAAAATTTTTTTATTATTTGGCTGTTCCACTGTACAATTTGTGGAAGCACTGACAACATTTTCCTCTCTCAAATCCTCATCAACACACGGGTAAAATGCAGGCAACGTTGTAATGCACTGCTCATTGGAATACCAAGTACAAGAAGGGCTATTAGGAGTAATAAAAAGATATCGAATATGAACCTCAGAACAAGCACCCTTGATGGGCACTTAATGAGGATCCCTAACCATGAGATCTAACATCTCATCCTATGGAATTCACCCATAAAAATCATCAATAACAATAGCCTGCTGACTGCTGTAACCACCTCGCCATTGACCTCTAGGCTTGTAATACACACTCCAACCGCTAGAGACTCACTTCTCAGCAGCGGAAGGGGACTTGCCCTCTCCCTCTGGACCAACTCTTACAGTGAAACCAAAAAATCCCACCCCTTGGAAATCCCAGCCATTAGGATAAAGTTGCAAAAACCACACCCAGAACTCAATAAAGGACAGACCTCATGAAGCAGAGGCTGCAGATCACCCGCATCCCACGAAGTAGCTCTACAGTGGACTCCAGGTCTGTCCCCTGCCTGGGATCACACGGGGCACCGCATTCTTCCAAGACGCCATCCTCAGAACAAAAGTGCGAACTGTCCTCGTCAGTCCTGTGTGCAGGCTCACAGTGAGCCCTGTGAAAGCCAGACACCTTCTTGAGAGCACTCTGCCTCTCATGACGATCCTAGCGGATGGAGGGCGCTGCTCTCCCCAACTTCCACACCAGCTAGAGAAGACTTGGAACGAGTTTTGCCAAACTCCATGCAAAGGCATGTTCTTCATCTGCAAAAGGATGGACAGTGAAACACCACGGATTCCCCGCACCTTCTTGAACCTCGGTAAATTGGAGGTACAGCTTGGCCAAGCTATTATCCCCAACACTCTACACACACACACACCCTCCCCTTGTGCACTCCAGACGAGTTTCCATTTATCTTGTTCATTTCCAGCCATTGTCTCTGCAGAGAAGTACAGTAGACCTGAGGTTCTGGGACTGAGGTGCTAGGTGCTAAGCCAGTTTACTATCAGAAATTAAGATTTGTTTTATTAACAGATGCGCCCCAGAAGATCTTGACGCCACGGCCATTAGAAAAGTCATTACAACAGAGGTCCTAACAACCTCTGCCAATCTCCACGGCTCCACTCCCTGGCTCCAGGGATTGGCTCATTTATGGGCATGTGACCTGGTCCCAGCCAATGAGGAGGGAGGAACATTGGGTCTCAGCCTGCAGAACTGAGGGATGGGGTGGGCCACCCAGGCGGAGGGCTTTTCCATCAGGACTGCAGAAGCAGCCTAGGCGAGGCCCATGCCAGTGCCACAGAGGGCCCAGGAAGCCAGGTACTCCGTAACATTGCTGATGGCTGGATTAGACTCATCCTGAAGCCCACACGGGATGGATTATCTGCTACCTCAGGGGAAACCCCAATGTGCTCATGGTCTTGGCCTGAACAAGATGACTGCCTGTGTGGTATATAAGCCGCAAGATATACCCGCCTGATAATGGGACATTACCCAGCCAAAGAGTACCTACATGGAATTCAACCTCAGACAAACGTGTTGGGGGAAGCTTGAGGCCTACAGAGAAAGGTGGGAGAATCCTGAGGACTTAATTTTAGGTCAATCACACTATCATTTTTTTTAACTTTCAAGAGGAGGGGCCATGGTGAGGCAGGATAGATCCCAGTGTCTTCCCACTCTGCCACTGGAAAAGAAGAGCCCTCTCCCCCATCATCCATCATGTTGCAGATCTAGGGTGTGGGAAACTACCACCGATGGGCCAAATGGAACTCTCCCCATATTCTCTCAATCAAGTGTGGCAGGAACATGAGTTATGGACGGTCTCTGGCTGCCATCAAGCCACAATGCAAGAGAGGAGTCATTGTCAGAGACACCACGTGGACTGCAACACCTAACAGAAAATTTTCACAGACAACTTTACAGAAAAGTCTGTGCCGATCCCTGGTCTCAAAGATCCTAGGATCATGCCCCTTTTTTTGAGTAGAACGTAGCGCTTTCTGGTAAAATCTAATTGCTTCACCCCCAGAGGCAAGGACTTCCATCCTTTTAGCCAGAACTCCATCTCCATCCTTCTCTATTGACAGCTGGAATGGCACATCTACAGGTCTCCAGACCAACAGGACTTCACTGTCGATTTCATGGTCGTGGTGCTCAGAAATGGAGGTGTCAGCATGAACATGTGAGGGTGAGCGTGTGTTTTCTCTCTGTTAGTCACAGTGTGCACGGAGAATACAACACAGTAACATGCTTTCTGTCCCACGGAATGCCTGGCCACGCCATGTGGATGTACAGTGATCTCGGAAGGAAGCCACCTTCATAGAACATACGTCATCTGGGAGGACTCCCAAGTCCCTTGCCCTGGACACTAGGTTCCACTGAGGCTGGGGGCACTCAGAGGGACAGAGAATTCCCCTGCCCATCAGGGTTTTGAAGGACACCTACTGTTCTGGGACAGAAGATCCCGAAACCATTCATGGGTCCATCATCCAGCCCAGCAATCTGGGAGAGAGACCTACTCCAAGCAGGAAGGACAGACCAAGACACAACAACTGACAGCCTTGTGTGACATGTGCCATGACAGGGGACACTCAGGAGGCTGGGGGTGTGCAGGGTTGGCCAGACCGGGGTGGCAGGGGGACCGGGAGTGCTCCGGGAAGGTGTGGCAGCTGTGCCCTTGTGTGGCTACACGTGTCAGTGTGACTGGGCATTGGCCAGACTGGAAATGACATCGTGGGCGAGGGGCGGTGTCCCTTAAATGTCTTCTGCAAGGCAAAAGTTCAGTAACGAGAGTCCTTTCAGTACGATTTCCCATCACATGCATCTGTGAGTCCCTAAAGCTGACTGTGTGGAACATCAAGTACATAGTTAGCCATTGCTTTCAAACCTGAGGTGCTGGGGACAGAGCACACTGGAAATTTCATACTCTGGTATGATGACTTTTCCCGCCTTCATCTCTGACCCAAGCACAGGGTACAAAGGCAACACAGATCTACACTTCAAATGTCAACAGAAATCTGCAAACCCAAGTTCTCACAGGAGCTAAAGGTTCAGGACCAGGGTGATGGAGAGGGGAGGCCAAGAGTGAGGAACCAAAAGAACACGGCATGTGCATGTGAGCTGGCCCACTTCTCTACCTGTCAGAAGCGAGCCATGCCTGACAGGAGGGAGTCCCACCTGCACCCGGTCTGTCTGTTTGCTGCCCTGGAGCAGAACAGAGGGACTGAGCTGGGTGTGGGTGTCGGGGGGAGATGGCCAGCTGGCCACAGATGCTACCTGCCGAGGACCTGTAGGACCAGCTCCCGGTCCTCAGCTAAGATGAAACCATCATTTTGTATGATGACTTATTTCTGGGGACAGGGCATGTGCTCAGTGCTTTCGTGACTATATCCTCTCCCGTTGTATTTTTTAAAAAACGCCTTAGGCATTAACACTGACATACACAAAGCTGTCCCTAGCTAATGTTTGTAACTTGTCCCTGACCCTAAACCTAATATCTAGTGAAGAGACACTCGATTTAGAAAACTGCTCACCAATTAGAGGATGGTTCTTAGGAGCGAAGGAATTCAGGGACCAACCCTCTCCTGTCTTCCCCCTGGAAGCTGGTAAATGGGAACACATTGGGCCACGTGCTCTCTGGAGAGTGGCCACACGGGGGCAACAGGGAGTCAGCAGTGCCCCAAACCCCACTGCAAAGCCAATTCTCCCTTCATCCTGTCAAATTTTGTTCATTCAATGTTTACAGATCATGGTAGAGATTATGAAAGGTCTGACCTTGCTGAATTTTTTAAAACCAAATGAATTCTTTCAGCCTGTTCAGAATAGAAGACGTTTTCTAAAATCTCAGAGTTGGCGAGCAGAGGAAGGGAAAAGGCTATTACTGTTGAATCTCTTCAGGTCTACCTAGGACACAAGGACGACTTCTACTCCACTTCTTTGCAGGAGGAGTCTGTGCCCACTCACAGCACTGAATCCACACAAAATAGTGCAGCTCAGAGGAAAATAAAGGAGAATCCTCAGCCTCCAGAAGCAGAGAAAGAGCCACACCCAGGAACCAAGAAGACAGACCAGGAAGGCTCTGCGCAGGCCAATTTGCATTTTCTGGAGAGCCTCTGGAGCTAGACTGCCCCCAGTGCCCCCAGGGCCATGGGTCAGGCCCAGCGCACACCCTGACGCTGCACTGTTGGAACCCGTGACTAGTCTCTTGGTCCCTTCCTCCCCGAGACACCCCTATCCCCTGATGACTCCAGCCTGCTTCTTGGAACTCCCATTCCCCTTTCTGACCCCATCCTTCACTTTTCCCGTCATGGCCATAATACAGAGTATGTTGAAATACTTTCTGTTGTGTCATTTAAATCTTTTTTTTGTCATGGTTGCTCTAAAACTAAACCTTGCATCATCTACCCTGATGTAGAATCCCTTGTTGCATTGCCTGACTCCACTGTGGACCCCGAGTGCCCTCACAGTGTCATGGGGCTAGTGTCCAGGGCAAGGTCCTCACTAAGCCGACCCAGCATTTGCAGGGAAGGCCTGACCCAGGCACTGCTGCTTTCGTGCAAGTGAGGCAGCACAGCCAAAACCTGGGTTTGGGATCAGAATGGCTCATGGCCCCTCAGCCACATCAGATGGCATGGGGGCATGCGGAACTCCTGAGATGGAATCCACCTTGGAGACCGGCCGGAACTTCCTGGGAGTACATTCCATCATCTCGCATGAATCAATGCCTCTAAAACCATGTCCTCACTTTAGAAAGCATGGGCCTCAGGCTCCAATGACATGACTCTCCTGGGTCGTACTGGACATCAGCGGAAGAGCCTGACTGAGCCTGGAGACGGCCTCCAGTGGGTCCCCCAGAGCAGCTTCAGCTAGAGCCGCAATCACACATTTATCTTCCCTGCACTCCCCAACTCGCGTGGGACTCTTCATGGGGCCTATTCTGGGAACAAGGGTCACGTCAGGGCCACAGAAACCTCTGACACTGGTTGTAACGAGACTCTGGGATGTCAGTGGCGTCCCAAGCCATGGGCCATCTCAGAGTTCATCTTCAAAGATACAGTTGGTGGGAAACCCACATGCTGACAGAGGGTAGAAAATGGAAAAGCTAGGAAAGAGGGGGTGCTCACGTCCCATCTGGCCCCAGATGTCACAGTGGTGTCCAGCAGGACAAGCCCCCCAAATGCTCCCCAGCGCCTTCACAGAGCTCACCCTAAGGTATGAAGTTGAGCTCATACACGGGTCATGAGCATCCTGGCCAGCTCGGGGCAGCAGGACACAGGACACAGTGAAGCCACAGCCTTGACAGATGTATAGTCATGGAGCAACAGCTTTCTCCAAATATATCCTGAAATGTTAAAAAAATCACTGATAAAACATTAACAGTTTTAATTAAAAAGAAAGCCATACATGTCATAGAGTAAACTGGTTCAATTAATAAGTATTTATTGAGGATCTCCTTAGTGCAAATGTATAGCTCTAGTCCCGCCTGGGAGCTTGCAAACAGCAGAGGATATAATCAACGGATCAACAGTAGGAAGGAGTGCTGGCCAGGAGAACAGTGCAGACTAAGGGGGCCGTCGCATTCAGAGGCCCACCAGGAACCACCTCTGCGAAGGTGGCGTTCGAGTCAAGACCAGAATGAAATGGGGAGCGAATCCATCTGTGTGGAGGGCAACAGAGCAAGGACATTTCTTACTAACTTTAGAGATAAAACAGAAATGCCGAGATGTTTTCACTTAGGTGTTGCTTTGGGAGCTCTGGTTCTTCTAACTTTTAGGGATACACACTTACCTTTCCTCACTGTAAAATGGTATAAGAAAAATGTCTTATTTAAGCATTGATATCTTTAATTAAAAGGCAAATAAATTAACCCAAGCTAACCCCTAACCCTAACCTACAGACTTAGTAATGTATTAGTTTTTTACTGGAGCTTGAACAAATTTCTACAAACTTCGTGGCCTAAACAACAGAAACTTACTATCTCAGAGCTGTGCAGCTCGGGGGTCTAGTGCGGAGGGCAGGGCTGTGGCCCTTCTGCAGGCTCCAGGGGAGAACCCCTTCCCAGGCCTTTTCCACCTCATGGAGGACGACTCCTACATTCCACGGCTCACAATCCCTTCCTGCATCTCCCAAAGCTTCTAGAAAGGCATGTGGCTCTGCTGAAACCTTGCTTTTAACTCAGCAAGACCCAGTTTTGTCTTAAGGCCTACGAAACTATGATAAATACACCTGAATTACTTTAAGCCTCTACACTGACCCACGCACGAGTGAAGGTGAGGGTCAAATGCAGGGATGAATTCAGCGTGGATGTGAGGGCTATTAGGGTCAGAATCCTGTTGAGGTTAGGTTCAGGGTCAGGGTGGGGATGAGGATCAAGGTCACCTGAAGGTCAAGGTTAGTGTGAAAGTAAGCATCAGGGTGAGCAGGGTCAGGGTCATAATCAGTGTTTCAGGGTTAATGTCAAGGTCAGTGTTAGATGAATGGTCAGAGTGAGTGTCAAGTTATGACTCAGTTTGAACAGTAGCATCAGACTACTGGGAGAGCTGGGTCCAATTCAGGTTCCGGGTGAGAGCAGGTTTCAGGTCAAAGTCAACATCAGAGTCAGAGTGAAGGTAAGGGTCAATTCTGGGTCAGCACCATGGTGAATGCCAGTTTCAGAATCAGGTTAACAGTACACTGCAAGGTCAGAGTCAGGTCATTTCCAAGGCGAGGGTCATGTTCAGGACCAACAATAAGGTGAATGTAGGGTCAGGATCAGGGCCAAGTGTGACATCAGCATAGTGGCTGCAAGAGTCTTCCTTTTCTTCCTCTCCCCTTTTATTTATAACTACTTAGACATTCATAATCAAATGAAAGTGCCTCTGATCATCACACCAGGGCACTCAGATTTCTACGCACCTGTGCATCAGAAAGCAGGCAGACAGGGCCGTGAAGGGGGCTGCAGATCCAAGGAAGATGACGAGCCTGCCCCAGCCTGACTTGCCAGGACTGGGGGAAGCACAACTGGGCGACACTCACTGAAGACAGAGAGTTTGCGGAAGCCCAGCCAGCAGGGGAAACCAGGCCCACCACCGAAGCAGGGTAGAGATGGGCTCGGAGTCAGAGGAGAAGGAAGAATTCCAGTCGGTCCCTCCCCAGGGCACCCCTGGCGACAGCCTGCCCTTCAAGGCCGGTGGAAAGCCAAAGTGGCGAGTGAGTGAGGGCGTGACAGGAACTGGAGGAAAGGGAAAGAGGCAGACGAGAACAACCAAGGAACGTGTCCTTGCCGTCCGCTTCAAGACTTCTGCAAGAGATGTGCCTGTGGGAGTCCGGGAGCCCCCTCATTGCAGGACACGCCTCCTGGGGTGTGGCACCCCCATATCAGCAGATCTCTCAGAAGGAACGCCGCAGGCCAAGAGAGAGTGGAAGGACCTACTCAGAGTTAAATGACAGAAACTGCCAGCCCAGAGTACTCCCCGAAGTGAAGCTCCCCTTCGGATACAGAGGCGCGACAGAGACTTTGCCAGACACGCCGAAACCGAGGGAGCTCACCGCCCCTTGACCAGCCTTGAAGGAAATGCTCAAAGGGTTCTTCAGCTGAAATGAAAAGGCACTAATTAGTGACATAAACGCAGATGAAAGTACATAAAACACTAGCAAAGGCAAAAGATGAACACAATTACAACTGGAAACTTTATATTAGAAGGGTATGCTAAGGGGCCCCTGGGTGAGTCAGTCGTTAAGCGTCTGCCTTCGGCTCGGGTCATGATCCCGGGGTCCTGGATTGAGCCCCACATCGGGCTCCCTGCTCAGCAGGCAGTCTGCTTCTCCCCCTCCCACTCCTCCTGCTTGTGCTCTTTCTCTCTCTGTCTCTCTGTCAAATAAATAAAGTCTTTAAAAGAAGAAGAAGGAGGAGGAAGAAGGTGTGTTAACACTTAATTACAGTTCGGAGGCTAAAGGAAAAGGGCATGAAAAATAACCGAAGTCACTCCCACTTCTCAGTGAATTCGCAGCATAAAAAGAGGCACATTTTAACATCAAAACTAAAGGGGAAGAGTAAAAGCTCGGAAACTTTACAGGGAACGAAAATAAGGTGCTAACAGCATCAAAAGGACCATTTTACCTAACAGATGTTGTTTGTAATCCACGTGGTAACAACAAAGCAAAACCCTAGAGTCACAAAACAAGGAAAGGGGGAGACCAGACGCACTGTAGAAAATCAGCGTTTCACAAAGGTAGACAGAAACGGGGGATATAACAAAGGAGCTACAAAACAATCAGAAGCAAGACGTAAGGTGGCAGCATTCAGTTCGTACATATCAATAATCACTCCAGGGCACCTGGAGTGGGTTAAGCCTCTGCCTTCAGCTCAGGTCATGGTCCCAGGGTCCTGGGATGGAGCCCAGCATTGGGGGGTCTCTGCTCAGCAGGAAGCCTGCTTCCCCCTCCCCAGCTCCCCCTGCTTGTGCTCCCTCCCTCACTGTGTCTCTCTCTGTCAAATAAATAAATACAATCTTTATTTGTATTTATTAAATACAAATTTTCTTTAAAAAGAAAAAAGAAAATGGAAAGACCTCAAGTAGGCAACCTATCTTTACACCTCAAGGAACTAGAAAACAACAACAAATTAAGCCCAAAGTTAGCAGAACAAAGGAAACAACAAAGCTCAGAGCAGACAGAAATTAAACAGGAACAATGAAAACCACAGAAAGGACTGATGAAACTGAGAACTGGTTCTATGAAAAAGATAAACAAAATCAACAAACCTTTAGCTGGACTAAGAAAAAAAATGAAAAGACTCAAATAAAATTAAGAGTGATAAAGGAGACATTAGGTGCGCCTGCGGGTTCCGTCGGTAAAGCGTCTGCCTTCGGCTCAGGTCCGGATCTTGGGGTCCTGGGATCGAGCCCCTCATCGGGCTCCTGCTCAGTGTGAAGTCTGCTTGTCTCTCTCCCTCTCCTTCTGTTCCTCCCCCGTTTGTGCTCTCTCTGCCTCTCAAATAAATAAATAAGATCTTTAGAAAAGGAAAAGAAAAAGGAGATGTTACAACTGAGACTGCAGAGAAACGGACTGTGAGACTGAACAACTACAAGCCAAAAACTCAGATAACTTAGAAGAAACAGACTGATTCCTAGAAACAAGCAACCTACCAGACTGAATCAGGAAGAAATAGAAAATCTGAACAGACCAGAGACTAAAGAGATTGAATCACAAATCAAAAACCTCCCAACACAGAACCTCCTCCACGGCCAGACACCTTCACGGGAGATTCTACTAGATAGTCAAAGAATTAACACCAATTCTTCTCAAACTCTTCCAAAAAATGGGGGAGGAGGGACTATTTGTAAAAATCATCTTGTGGGGCTGCCATTGCCCGGATATGAAAGCCAGAGAAGGACACCACAAGAAAAGAAACCTACAGACCAGTATCTCTGATGAATCCAGATGCAGACGCTCTCAACAACATATTAGCAAACTGAACTCAAGAACAAGTAAAAAGGCACATTGTGAGCAAGTGGGCTTTATCCCTGGAAGCGAGGATCATTAGACACACATAAATCAATACATGTGATCCATCACATTAATAAGATGAAAGGGAAAAAATCACATGATCATCCTGACAGATGCAGAAAAGGCATCTAACAAAATACATCATTTCATAAAAACCCTCGGCAGATTGGGTATAGAAGGAATGTACTTCAATATATTAGAGGCCTATGTTAGGAGCCCACGGCACAGTGTATGCACTGTTGCAACACTGAAAGCTTTTCCTCGAGGAGCAGGAATAAGACACGGGTGCCCACACACACCGCTCTTCCTCAGTCTGGTATTAGAAGTCCCGTCATTATTTGTACGTAACAGGATGTGGTATAGAGCAAATCTGAAAGGCTGTTAGATTTCAATCAAGTTGCAGGATACAGAATCCACTCACAGAAATCACTTATGTTCCTATACACTAAGAATGAAACGTCGGAAAAAGAAATATAGAAAACTATCCCATTCACAATAGCATCAAAAACAACAAAATGGGGACGCCTGGGTGGCTCAGTTGGTTGGACGACTGCCTTCGGCTCAGGTCATGATCCCGGAGTCCCGGGATCGAGTCCCACATTGGGCTCCCAGCTCCATGGGGAGTCTGCTTCTCCCTCTGACTTTCTCCTCGCTCATGCTCTCTCTCACTGTCTCTCTCTCAAATAAATAAATAAAATCTTAAAAAAAAAATGCTAGAAATAAAAGTAACCAAGGATGTGAAAGTCCTGTACAATGAACTACAAGACTTCATTGAAAGAAATCAAAGAAATGGAAAGATAAACAAATGGAAAGATATCTTGTGTTCATGGGTCAGAAGAATTAATGTTGTTAAAATGTCCTTCTTAAGGAAAAAAAAGAACAAAGCCAGAGAAATCACACTTCCTAACTTCAAAATGTCCTACAAAGCCTTAGTAATAAAAATAGTATGTTACTGCACAGACAGACAAAAACAGACACACAGACCAATGAAACAAGACAGAAGGCAGAGCAGTGAGAATGCCTGCTTATAGAGTCAAGAAAATATTCAACAAGGAAGCCAAACACACAATGGGGAAAGGACAGACTTGCCAACCAGTGAGCGGGGAAAACTGGATGAGCACATGAGATGAAATTAGACCCTGTCTTACACCGGTCACAAGAATTCACTCAAACAGATTAAAGACTGAGACAGAAGGACCTGGAACAACAAAACTCCTAGAAGTAAATGTCAGGATGAAGCTCCTTAACCTTGAATATGACAATATGACACCAGCAGCACCAAAGACCAACGTGAAAATGAACACACAGGGCTCCATGAAACTTAGCACCTTCTGCACAGCAAAGGGAACCGTTAACAGACTGAAAAAGCTCTGCAGAATGGAAGAAAAATTTTGCAAGCCATAACTGGGTAAGGAGTTAATACTGAAAACATATAAAGAAGCCATACAACTCAAATTCAAAAACAAACAATCCGACTGAAAAATAGGTAGAACTAGACCTTTCTCCAAAGAACACATTGCAACAGCCAGCAGACACATGAAAAGATGCTCCACGTCATTGACGGTCAAAGAAATGCGAATCAAAACCACAATGAGATATAATGTCACTCAACCGCAGTAGGCAACAACATGAATGCTTCTCAATTAAAAATAGACCCACCAAGGATCCCATGTGATTCCACTTCCGGATTCGTACACAAAGGAAATAAAAACGGGATTTTGAAGAGAGATGTGCGCTCCGGCATTTACAGCAGCGTCGTTCTCAACAGCCAGTCCGAGCCGGTCAACAGATAAAACGATAGAGATGTGGTATATAAATACAATGGAATACGATACGGCCATGAGAAAAGAGGACGTCCTGCCGTTTCCAACATGATGGACCTTGTGGAAGTTATGCTCAGTGAAGTAAGTCAGACCGAGAAAGACAAATACTGGATGACATCACTTACACGTGTGATCTATAAAAGCAAAACTCCCCAAAACAGACTAAAATGGTGGTTACCAGGTGTCAGGGAGTAAAGGGGACAGGGCAGCTGTTGCCTGAGGGTATACATTTGTAATGAATAGGGAGCACAGACAACAATATTGTGTTGTTATCAACAAACTTGCTAGGAAACTAGAACTTAATTATTCTAATGACTAAAAAGACAGAATTATGTAATTATGATAAAGGGGCTAATTGTCCAAGCATATTATGATATAAAACACATTAAGATCATAAATGCATCAACACGTACACCTGAAACTTACACATGTTGTATGTCAAATATATTTCAATTTTTAAAATGGGTCAGGGTCACGATCCGGGTGAGGCTATGGGGTGACTATCAAGGCAAGGCTGTGCACGAGGGTCACAGTCTGGGACAGGATAAACACCTGTGTCAGTTAAGGATTCAAGTAAGGTTCAGGGTCAAGGTCAGGCTTAGGTGAAGTTTCATGATCAGTAACTAGATCAGGGTCATGAGGGTCAGGAACAGGATCAAGTCAGCTGAGGTTCGGTCAGATCACTGCAGGTGGAAGGGTCAAGGTCAGTGTAAGGTGAGAATCAAGAAGAGGGTGAGAGTCAAATTCACGTAAGTCCAGGGTTGGGGTCAGTGCCAGAGTGGTCAGAAGGGTCAGGGTCAGGGTCAGGGTCAGGTTGAGTGTTGTCAGCAAGGTGTGCGGGTGTCTCCAGGTGTGAATGACAATCAGTCCGATCAACCCAGGGTTGCCGAGTGTTGGAATCAGGGATAAGAGTAGGCTCAGATCTGGGGTGCCTGGGTGACTTGGTTAAGCGTCTGACTCAAGGGGGGGTGCCTGGGTGGTTCAGTCGTTAAGCGTCTGTCTTTGGCTCAGGTCATGGTCCCAGGGTCCTGGGATTGAGCCATGCATTGGGCTCCCTGCTCAAGCAGGAAGCCTGTTTCTCCCTCTGCCTGCCACCACCCCGCTTGTGTTCCCTCTCACTGTCGCTGTCAAATAAATAAATGAAATCTTTAAAAAAAAAAAAAAAAAAAAGAGTAGGCTCAGATCTGTGTGAGGGACAGAGTCTGGGTGACAGTTGGGTTTAAGGGTCAAGGTCAGAGTCTGGTTTATCAGTAAGAGATCAGGGCTAGAGTCAAATTTAAAGGACTGTCAGTTTTATGGACAAGGTCATGATTAAGACTCTGGGGGAGGATCATGGTCAGTGTTAAAACTAGGTTAAGGTCACAGTCGTGATAAGGGTCAGACAGCATGAGAGTATTTCCAGAGTGAAGTTCTGAGTGAAAGTCAGGGTTACATGAGGAATGTAGTCAGTCAGACATGATCCAGTGAGGGTCCAGGGGAGACTGTCAGGTAGGGGTGAGGTCAAGGGAAGATCAAGCTGTGGGCAGAAATCGGGAGAGCGTGACTGTTAGAGTGAGGGTAAAGCTTAGGGTAGAATCAGGGTAGTAAGTCAAGGTCAGGGCTGGGATTAGAGTGTGTGAGGTTGAGGTTCAGGACTAAGTGTAACAGGGTCATGGTCAGTGTCACAGTGAAGTTGGCCACCAATCCCTGCCCCACTGCCCAGCACCATGTGCAGCTTTTGCAAACGCCACCTCCTGAAACGCTCTCCCGCCGAGCTGTGGGTCTACCTCCCTCACCTGCCTGGAGTCCTCAGCGTTGCCTGACCCTCCCTGTCCACCTCCATGGGGACTCAAGTGTCATGAAGGCAGGGATCTCGGAACAGAGTGTTTCATACATGGATGGATTCCAAGCCCTCAGAAGAACGTGGGGCACAGAGCAGGTGCTTCACTGAAGCTTGTTTAATAAGCGATGAGTGTCCATAAAGGTATTTCTGGAGGGAAAAGTGCATCTGGCTATAAACTATCCACAGTAGTTCTCTCTGTGGAAGAATTACAAGAAACATCATGGTTCACTTGATGCATGTCCATGCTGTTTAAAATTTCTTAAAATTAATGTTGATTATTTTATAACCACTAAAAATGGATTTTTCCACTTTAAGAGAAAAAGAGCTCCAGGTAAAGATCCTGGTAAAGTGACAAGACACTCATTGCAGCATAGCTATTACCCAAGCCTCAAACAACTGGCAGCTTTCGGGGAGCCCTGGAGCACCCTCAAAGGAACCCTGCCCTAGCGCTCTTCTCTAAGGAGGGAAGACAAACGAAGAGGCAAGACAACATGGAAGGTCGATTTATTCAACAGCAGCTTTGGAAAGGAATCCTCGAGACAGTGAGGGGATGTACTTCCCCGTCTCTGCTTCACTCCTCTCCCACACGCCTCTGTCCTTCGCAGGCCAGAGCCGGATGCAGACACGGTGACCGTGTTAGATGTACTTATACACCACCTTGGAGGGCACAGTCTGGAGGTGCAGACGGACGGGACATTTGTAAAAGTGGGACAGCAGAGTCTCACTGTAGCCCACCAGGAAGTAGAACTTGTGTGCAGGCAGCTGCCTCAGGACCAGGGCACAGATCTCCAGCTGGTTAGCCCGGCGCTTCAGGACCAGCTGGTCGGCCAGGCACCCTGGGAAGGTGCCCAGCATGAACTTCCGGAGGAAAACGTCCTCCACCGTTCGCTCTGCAGCGTGGTCCTCCCCATCCAGGTTACCTGAAAGGAGAAGGGACCTCGAAGACTCAGCAGAAACTCCAGGAGCCTGTCACGCAATTCCACCCCAACCCTGGCTTCTCTCTTCTTCTACAAGTGGAATAAAAGGAATAACACTTTAAAGTTCAAAATACACAGCACTTGAGTGGCTCGGTTGGTTGAGTGACTTCCTTCGGTCAGGTCGTGATCCCAGGGTCCTGGGATCGAGTCCCGCATCGGGCTCTGCTCAGCGGGAGCCTGCTTCTCCCTCTCTCTACTGCTCCTCCCCCTGCTTGTACTCTCCCTCTTGCTGTCAAATAAACAAAAAAAATCTTTAAATAAATAAAGTTCAAATACATTATTTCACTGCATTCACAAACAAATCCTGTGAAGTCAGTATTATCATAGTTACCCTGGTTTTACAAAAGGGAAGACTGAGGCCTTAGCAGGGCATAAAATTCATATGACCCTTTCCTGTCTAGCCCCTTCCCACTCTTTCTGGGCCATTTATAGAAGCACTGGCCATCCCTTGGCCCAGAGAGATGAGGCCGCCAGCTACTTCTGAGACTGGGGACATGAGCTCTGTCACCAGCCAGGGCCATGGCCTCAACCAGAGGATTCTCAGTGCAGACCCTAAAACCCCTCCACCTGCTGCAGTATGCCTCAGGAGTCTCCACACCCAGCCCCAGACCCTAGAACCAGAACCTGGAAAGGGTGGGGGACAGGAATCCATTATTTTAAGTTCTCTAGACAGATGGATCTCAAAACGCCCAAGCTGAGAAGCCTCATACTGGACGAAAGGCAGCAGATTCCCATTAGTTCCCGGTAGTTATGTTCTATGAAGTCAGCACGAGCAACGAGTTAGGAACACTGAACCCTCGCTCCTAGGGGACCCAAGGGGTTAGGTTTCTGCTCGCCCTGGACTAAGACAGTTTGGTCAACACATCAATATATAACCTTGTTTCCTGCGTATTTCTGTGTAAAGACCCCTTGTTGAATACACATCACGGCTTAACCCTGAACTTTCGGCCCAGGGCATTAGACCCCGCGGGGAAGGAAGCTTATTAACATGTGTATCTTCTCCCCAACTGAGGTCACACCCTTCCTGTGCGTCCCACGTCAGCAGGAGGCTCCGTTAAGGCAGCGAAGTCACAAGGGCACAAACTGCAGACGCGGGGCACTAACGGGCCTCGGAAAGACACCTGCTCACAGAAGCAGCGCCCTGGGGGGGAGGCGCGTGCGGGCGGCGGCTCCGCCCTGGTCCCACGCCGATGCCGGAACATGAAATCTGAGAATGAAAACCTCTGAACGAGCAGAAGTTGAACCGGGCCTCTCGCCCGTGTTTGCCGGATGTCTGTGCGACGCCGCGACCGAGAACTTCATCCGCGGGGCCCCCAGCACCGCGACCCCTCACCTGTGTGCAGCGACAGCCAGCCCTTGCGGTGGGCGATGTAGTGCGGCGCGTGCGCCTCCTCGTAGGTCACCGGCTTGTCCCCCTTGCCCACTCTGACTCGGGCCGCCCGGTTCTAGGAGCACAGAGGGGCCGCGATGTACGCGCCCACCGACCCAAGCTGCGGTGCGTCCCCCGACCCCTGCGCCCCCGGCCCTCGGTTTCCCGCCCTCAGGCCCCTCCGCTGCCAGGCTCTCGGGTCCCGCGCCCCTCCGTCCCTGGGTTCCCCGACCCCCGGTCCCCCACTCCCAGGGCTCCGGCCGCCCGACCCAGGACCCCCGGACCCTCCGCCCCCAGGCCCCCGGCCGTCCGGCCCAGGACCCCGGCCTCCGGCCCCACGCCTCCAGGCACTAGGTCCCCAGCCCCCCAGCCCCTGCCGCCCAACCCCAGGACCCCCGACCCCGGGCCCCGCCGCGCTCACCTTGGCGCAGACCGCAGACGTGTGCAGGCCGCGCGAGGAGCACGGCAGCTCTCGGCTCCAGGACAGCACCTGCGGGAGGAGGGGACGTGAGAAGGACACTGAGGCCCCCACCGCAGACCGCGGCCCCCCGCCAGCGTCTCCCGCTCACTCACCCGGGGCCCGAGCACCCGGCAGGACACGGCCGCCGCCATCTTGGGCCCGGCGCCGCGCGCCGGAAGTAAGTACCGCGGCGCCGCGAGGGGAAACGAGGCGGGGCGGCCTCGGGGCAAAGGTCAACCCCCAGGAGACCGCGGCGGCCGATTAGACGAAATCGGAACCTGCGCAGGTGCGCTGGGCGCTTACGGGGGTGGGGCCGAGGAGGGGTGGGGCCGAGGAGGGGTGGGGCCTCCAGGCCGGGGCGGAGCCTCTGTCGGGAGGAGGCCTCTCATCGGGGCGGGGCATCGGCGGGCGGAGTCTCAGTCGAGGCGGGCCCGCAGTGGGCGGGGGTCTCGAGTCGGTGGGCGGGGCCTCCGGTGGGTGGGCGGGGCCTGCCTGTTGGGGCGGGTCCGTGGGTTCAGCGGGTAGAGGTGGTGCAGTGCACGTCCAGGCGGTGCAGGCAGCGGGTACTTCCCCCTTACCGTAGCGGGGCCCCCAGCTATGCACGTCTCCACCTGCCACGGTCGGGGGTGTGTGGTGGCTCAGGTCCGGGACGCAGGTGGTGCAGAGGTGAGGTCTCGCCGTCTGGGAGCTCGCAGCGACGGAGACAGGGGATCAGCGTGGGCTCCGCTGCGCCCCCTGAGCTCCGCCCCGGACCGGCCCCTCGGTGCTCAGCTGCGAGCGGACCCCGTTCCCCACCTTCTAGAAAGCGGGCTGCTGAGTTCTGCCTCCAAATAAGTTTTTAAGAAGGAAAGAAAACAAACAAACCCGGCTTTTTTTTTTAATTTTATTTATTTATTTGACAGAGATCACAAGTAGGCAGAGAGGCAGGCAGGGGGGGTGGGAAGCAGGCTCCCTGCTGAGCAGAGAACCCGATGCAGGGCTCGATCCCAGGACCCTGAGATCATGACCTGAGCCGAATGCAGAGGCTTAACCCACTGAGCCCCGCAGGTGCCCCAGAACCTGACTTCTATCCACAAAGAAGAAATTCGTTTGGTTAAAATTTCATCCAGTTCTTTGAGGATGCCTTAGGCAGAGAAATAGGTCATTTCCCATGGGACCATACCCTAGTGTCTGGTCATGAGGGAAGGAAAATTTTAAGTAAGAGAAAGGGCTGGATGATAGGGAAATTCATACTCAAACCAAGCATTGTCGTGGTCATCGGTATCCAGTAATTATTGTCGGAGGGAAAAATACCAGCCCTGGGTATCTTACTTCACAGCTCATCACAGAAACAGAAAAAGCATGGACTCTGGAGTCGGCCCCAGGCGTCACAGTCTTTGGACAACTGAGCCTCAGCTCCGTAATCTATAAGATGGGTTTATTAGCTCTGCTAACTCTAGGGTTGTTCGGATAAATAGCTCTCATCGCTGTGTTCAGCCGAATGATACGGAATTGCCAAGGCTGGGCTGGTTTTGACCTACATCATCTACCCTAACGCAGCTTGCAAAGTCTGTGCCGCTGGTGGGAGGGAGGACTGGATTGTCATCTATGTGGAGGGGAAGTGGGGGGTGCTGGTGAGCTGCCCAAGGTCACAGCGGGCGGGAGGCGGGTGTAGAGAGGGACCAAGACACGGATCCTGACTGCAGGCCACTGTATTTTCCATGGTCAAGATTCCTGACTACTGGAAGCTAGGTCCTCAGAAAATCCTTAATAAAGGGACAGCATCTTTCATGCTGTAGGACATATTCCTAATACTAAGAATGTTTTACTTCCAAATGTTTAAACTACGGTCTCCCAACTGTTCAGCATATCAGATAAGGGGGCAGAAGGAGTGTGAGATCACAATCGTTTCCAAATATAAGAACTCTCAACTTTTCCCAAAGGACCCTTTTAAACTAATAGTATTTTCTCTTTTTAAAGATTCCCTAAAGTTTGATGATTTCATAATTTGATAAGTTTTCTAAATCTGCCCAAAGTGGTAAGGAATATGGGAGCTGGTATATGAATTACAGCTTCCAGCCAAGTGACTGGACCTTCCCAGGCTTCAGTTTTTCTAATCTGTAAAATGGGAACAATGACAGTTGTTGTGAAAATTACATTGTAAAACGCAGAGCAGAGTGAGCAGCTAATAAATGTGTCTTTAAAAAAGAATAAAGCCAGGGGCGCCCGGCTGCTCAGTCAGACTCTTGGTCTCAGGGTGGTGAGCTTGAGCCCAAGTTGGGTTTAGAGTTTAAAAAAACAAAACCAAAACAACCTGCCTGTCACGCCTGACATGCACCTCCTCTAGGAGAGATATAAGAACTCATAGGACCCCTCACGAGAGGAAGGAAGAACCTCTCTTTCCAGCAAAGGTGACTCTTGACTTCTGTTGGAGCCCCAGGAGGCGTGGTCTCGCGAGCAGACCTACCCTCAATGCGTCCGAAAATGACACCAGCAGATTTGGGTTTGTCTTCATTCCTGTCTCTCTCCCTTAGGTCTGAGGTGTCTCCAGGGAAATCCAGACAGCCCTAGGTCTTTCGAGTGGCTAACAGCCTGCTAACCTAACTCTCTTTCTGCCGTGCCTTGTTGCAAAGGGGGTTCCAGCTGGTGCCTTTGTGGTGGGGTGAGGGGGCGGAGGTTGCATGTAAGTGTGTTTGCAGTGATTAAAATAAAGGAAAAATCGTTTCTTAAACATTAGTATGGATTGTTAGATTGTTCTAAACCACAGTGGAAACAGTTTAATGGGATGTTTCATTTTTCTGTCATTTCCATTTGCTAATGGTTTTGTTTGCTTGGTCAGAGAGGGAGACAGAGAAAGCAAGAACAGGGGGAGCAGCAGAGGCAGAGGGAGAAGCAGGCTCCCTGCAGAGCAGGGAACCGGGATGCAGGGCTCCATCCCAGGACCCTGAGATCGGGACCTGACCCCCAGGCAGCCCTGTTAGTGTTTGATGTTCTCAACTCTGTAAAGGAGGCAGTTTTGCAGAACAAAAAATGGAGGCTCAGCAAGTCACCTGGGGTCACAGAACTAGCCAGTGGTAGCAAGCCTCCTTGTTCCAAAGCATGTTCCTTGTCTGGGGACCCCCCTGGCGTCCCCTTCTCCCTGTGTCTCGGGGTGAGCACTTAGAACCTTGTGGGGCGGGGGAATGGCCTGGGTTTCTGGAGGTGGATGCAAAAAGCTCAGGACTGGCTCTGGGGACTTCCCGGAAACGGAGCGACCACGGGTTGGAACAAGAGACCCACATGAAGGGCCCACAGGGGTTCCCAAGCCAGAACCATGGGAAGATGAGGATGCACACCTGTTTCTTCACTGCCATGAGCCTCTTTGCTCTCCATGATAACTAGGAAGAGCTGGAGTCGCCTTCATGCTTGCACGATGCTGGCTTCTGCTCATTTAGAGTCAGATGGCCCCCCACCGCACGGACGGGACTGATGGGTTTACATGGGCAACTCCCAGAACCTGACTTGTAGCGATCCTTCTCGGGGAGAGGGCTGTTGGCTGCTCCTCACACCTCTTTTCTACCGCTGGTCCTACAAGACTGCGGCAGCTCCGCCTCCAAGAGGCCTGGCGTTAGTCCAGTCCTGCTGCTCTTGGGTCACAAGGCACAGGAGGGGCCCGCGGGTGCGTCTGGGCTCGTCTGGACTTCTCGGAGACAGTCCAGTAGGTTCCAGCGCGGCTCCAGGGCGCACCGGTGTCGGATGAAGGAGTGCTGGCCAGGCTGCGGGTGCGACCCTATGTGAGACGGACACTGTGGGCCCAGCCGAACGTGCAGAAAGCAGTCCAGCCTGGACTGTGCTATATTTCCTTGGAACTCACCAGAATCTAGCCTCAGGGAGGGATCCCTTTGCCAGAGACGGCTGCCTTCCTGTTGGAGGCAGGATTAGCCAAGACAACCTTATTCTCCTAACTCAGAACCGCTGACGTTTGGCATTTCGTGAACCTCTGCTAAGTCCAGTGCTTCCTGCTCCTGGTGATTAATTCTCTCCTGCTGACCACAGCCATTCACCAAAGAATCCCAGAGGCTCTCAGCTCTATTCAGGGAACTAGCCAAACCCCAAGGAAGTCCAGTTAGAACTGAGTCTTGAATTATCCCTCGTTTTTGCCCAGGCAGCCGGGGGGATGCCATTCCCCCACCCCTGCTCTCCTTCTGCTGAGGCACAGGAAGAAGGGGGAGTTTCAGCAGGTCCACGCCCGGGTCAGCTCCACTGTCGGTGGCCTGGGCCTCTTCCCTCAGTGCCCCCACGAAGCATCATCAACCCCCTGAGGTCTTCAGGCCCAAGGCAGGGCCCTCAGGCAGGGCAAACTCATGCTGAGCGTTTGGAACCCCAGGGTCTGCCCCAGGCAAGACCCGGGTTTCTGGAAATTGGAATCACAGAGCAACGCTGACTTCGGGGTCTGAAGGAGCCCTCCTGGGACTGACCATTGCCTAAAACAGGGTGAGGGGAACGCCGCGATGGACGCTTTCCAAGGCCCCAGGGCAGCCTCTCCAGTCCCTGCACCCGAGCGGCGGTGGTCTGCTCCCACTCGGTCAGACGGTGAGTCCCCCACCGCCACCGGGTTCCTGCCCGGGCACCCTTGTGGCCAGATTCTGTTACGCCCAGTCTTTAGATGGGTCTGTTTCCAAAAGTTTAAACACTTTCAGCAAATACTGGATGCAACTTCGCATACAGTGATTTTCCTGACTGTGAGGCAGTTAGTCTCGTCCGGGTCCTGTGTCCTTGTGAAAGCGTCAGACTTTTTCCACAGAGGGAGGGAAGAGGCCACACATAATTCTCTGGAGTTCGGTGACTGACCCTCGTCTCCAGCTGACGGACAGAGCCACTAGGGATGACTTGCCTGGTTCAGGTTCGAGAAGAGCTTGCATCAGTTTGTAAGGGAATTGACATTCAATGAGTGTAAGGGAGCTTTCCCTGAACCCTGGGCCCATAAGTGTCCCAGGCGATGTTCCCACGGTGCTGGAGAAGCAACTGGGTAGCCCTGGCTCTGCGGGAAGGGGGGAAGGCAGGAGAGGCTTTGGCATTTCCAGGTGAACCAACATCTTAAAATCTGTGTGACTTGATGATCCCAAAGAGAGGAGTTTCTAGTGCCCAAGGGTTAGAGATTCCTTCTGTGTCTCAGAAGGAAGAAGGTTTTCCCAGCTTCATCAGCGGGAGGTCAGGTTTTCTGAGCCCCGTACTGCGTTCAGCATGCATCTTGTCCGTCCTGAGCCAGGCTCCCAGGACTCAGGAACGACACTCTGAACATCAGGGAAGGAGCAGCTGTGGCGACCCGGGGCTCCAGGAAAGCGGCCCAGGGGCTCACGGCTCAAGAAGGGGCTCCCATCCAGAGGGCTGCCTCGCCGAGTCCGACAAAGAGGGGACAAGGACCACGGAGAGGGTCCTGGTCACCACGGAGGGCCGGTTTCCCCAAAGCCACAACATACAGACGGAAGGAGCCCCCAGGTTTCCAGACCTCGCAGAGTTGGGGTTGGGCTCCAGGGACCGCGGGGTGCCCCCCAGGCTCTGTGAGGCCAGCACAGGCCAGGATTTAGTCACAGCATCCATGGAGGAGCTCGTACGTGGCCAGAGGCCACAGACGCCATCAGGAAGAGAGCCTGGCCCTGAAGGGCACGCCACGGGTCAGCTGGGTCTGGCCTGGCAGTTGTAGGGGTCTGGGGGTGAGCCACGGGCCAGACAAAGGCAAGGCTGACGGCCACAGCCTGCCCATCAGCCCCCCGACCCCCCGAGGCATATGGGCGGGGGCTTCACTGCTCTATGCCTCCCTTCTCATCTGCAAGGTGGGATGGCCAAGGCCATGCCCAGCATTACTGTGAAGACGCAGAGTCCCGCTCCCGGGAACACCTGCAGGGCGGGGCTCTGCTTGAAGTCGGGGGAAAGTGGGGGCATTTGTGAGACCCTTGCCTCAGGCGTCTGCCATTCCCAACCTTCCGTCCCGCACCCCTCCTCGGACACTGTGATCCTCTTGGAGGAAACAGGAAAATCAACAGAGAGAGGAACTTCCCATCACCATCATTTACACATTCATTCATTCCATTCTTTTAACAAACATTTATTAAGTGCCTACAGTGTGCCAGGCCCCTTGCCAGGCCCCAGGGGGACAGAGTGGGGTCACACACAGCCCTCCCCTCAAGGAGCTCACAGCCTGGAGAGGGGCAGACTCGGGAGCTGGGCAGGAGGGACGCGCTGGGCTGAGTGTGGTGGAGGTGTAAACAGACGGCCCTGGGGGACAGGGCAGTCGAACTGGCAGGACGGAGTCGCCAAAGGCCTGCCCCCGCTTCCTTGGGACAGCGTCTCGGCTGCACTCCAGGGGCACAGAGAGGGAGCCCGGACACAGAGCACTGGTGCGTCGCGCCCCCGCCAAGGGCCACTCTGCTCCTGAGAGCACCTCCGGCCTGGGCTGCGAGGTCACCTCCTTCCTCAACACCGTGTAGGAAACTCCAGGCCCCCAGCTTCTGCTTCTCTCCCTTCTCGCACAGGGGGGCCGCCAGCCCCGCTCAGGCTCCAGGCACGGCCCCGTGAGGACACCGGCCCTGGCACAGGCCTCCCCCCGGACACTCAGAGCCGCCTGACAAGCTCAATGAGCTGCTGGATGTTTTTGTTGGGGTTGGACAGGCCATTCCGGATGTTCTCCAGAAGGCATCGCTTTAACTCAAAAATGGCCTCACTGTACGCCAGGCTCACCGCGGCCATGGGAGGTACCCCATGCCACAGGCCCGGGATGTGCCAAATATGCTGCTTTCCGGGGTCACAGAAGGCCAGGCCCGCCAGCGTCCGCATGCCGCCACCCGGTCTCTCCGTGTGCGCCCCGGCCCTGTCCGCCTCCCCGGGCGGATCCAGGAGCAGCCTCCTCTCTCGCGGCCTGGGCCCGGGGGCACATGCGTCATGAAGGTTCTGGCACACGAACTGACAGTTGGGCACGCGCCCCGTCTTCTCCAACCTCAGAAACGCGTGCACAATGGCCGGCGGTATGTCCCTGGTCTCGGCTAAGCTGACCACGGTGACGTTGCTCAGCCCCAGGAGTTGCGTGGCCAGGGAGGCCTCCTGCTCGAACCGCTCCCCGGCCGAGGCCAGGGCCCCGCCAATCAGGCCCCCGGAGTCTATCACCAGGATGTGGTCACAGCCCAGGTCCTGGCTGAAGCTCTCCGCCACTGAGACCAGCTGCATGAAGGCCCCTCGAGGCCCCCGGCCCCGCCCCGTGGCAAAGCGCAGCCCGAACATGGTGTTGAGCAGCGTGGACTTGCCCGTGCCCGGCAGGCCCAGCGCCGACAGGACCACGAGCCGCGGCCTCCGCTCCAGGCGCGCGTGCAGCTCCCGGAGGAGCCCCGAGACCCAGCGCAGTGGGGTGCTCCGCGCGCTCCCGTCGATCAGCTCCACGGGCAGCCCCTTCAGCAGCAGCTCTGAGGCCAAGCCCGGGAAGTGGGCAAAGCGCCTCTGCGCGGCCGGCAGCTTCCCCGCCTCCACCAGGCAGCTCTCCGCCTCATAAAACTGCCCCATCTCCCGCAGGAAGTGCTCCACGCCCAGGGGCTCGCCGGACTCCGCGGCCGCACAGTGCCTCGGTCTCAGCGTGAGGATGGTCTCTGGAGGCTGCCTCGGCCTCGGCGGGGCCACCCGGGCCAGCCCCCACTCCATCCACCTCAGGAAGTACAGCTTCTCGCCTGGGGCCGGGCCGCTGATGCCCGAGATGAACTCCTGCAGGCCCCCGGCGGGCTCGTGACCGAGCTGCTGCGCCCGCAGCTCCAGCAGCCGCTGCCTCAGCTCCTTGTCCGGGGGGTCCCCGGCCCACTGGGCCCGGCACAGCTCCTTCTCCACCTGGGCTGCCTTCCTCCAGGCGTCGCCCTGCAGCCGCAGCTCCTCCCTGCGGTAGGCGTCCGCGTCCTTGACCCTCCGGGTGATGCGCTCCGCCCGGCCGCGCGCCCGCTGGCACTCCTCGCAGTCCTCGTCCACGCGCAGGCCCAGCTTGCGCGCCGCGTGGGCCATCTCCTCCACGGACAGCCTCCGGCAGGGGGCCCGCGCCACGTGAGCCACGATGGCACGCACCCTGCGCACGAAGCCCGCACCATCGGTGCTGCTGACCTTCACCAGCACGTGCGAGTGGTCCATCCTGAGCACCGGGATGAGCCTGTTGAGGAACCGCAGGTTGGCGTTGCGCTTCCCGCGGTACGGGCTCAGGATGAAGTAGTACTTCGTGGCCGACCCCTTCATGGAGTACAGCAGCTTGTACTCCTTTTTGCTGATGTTGTCCGTCAAGATGAACACGGCGGAGGACACTTCAGTCAACAGCTTGAACTGCAGCCAGTGAGACCCGATGTCGCCCCGCAGGTTCAGGAAGGCCACGGGCTCCGGGAAAACGTCCAGGTCCTCCCGGCCGCTGGGAAGAAACCAGGAGACCTCCACCAGCCCGTCTGCGATCTCCCGAGGGTTGGTGCCCACGTTCAGATCGCGGTGCCAAAAGCAGTCCCGCGGCCTGTGGCCCGGGCCCAGCACGGCGTTGAGGAGCTGGGACTTGGAGTTGCTGCTGACCTCCATGCGCACGAAGGCGACGGCGGGTGCCCGCGACAGGACTGCACTGTCTTCGCGGAGGCTGCCCACCCCCCGTGGGGGCTGCGCCCACCATGTCCGCACGACACCCCTCAGGGCCCACAGCAGAAACGTGTGGTAGTGGTTCTCCGAGTCAGGCAGGACAAGGGGGAGGGCAAACTGGCAGAGAGACATCTTGTGCATGATTTCTTGTTGCAGGAAACTGTCCGAGGACAACAGAAGGGCACAGAGAAGGTCCAAGGGGTTCACGGGCGTGTCGGGTGTTGGCAGCTCAGAGAAGGAGTAGATGTCCGCGGCGAGGTCGTCGGCCGCATCCCAGTAGATGATCTCCTCCTCCATCTGGCTCTCCTTCTCTGCGGGCCTGGCATCCGGGGGCGCGTCCAGCACCATGGTGGTGCTCCGGGCTTCGGAGCTGAGAGCCTGCAGCTTCCTGAGGAAATTCCAGGGTAAGTCCCTGGGGGCCTGAGGGGCCCGGTTCTTCATGCTGTCACTGCTGATCTGCAGGAAGTCCTGGAGGCTGAGCTTGTGGGCCTGGTAGGTGTCCAGGCCCAGAAGCGACAGCATCTCCCGCAGCCTGCTCCTCTCCACTGTGGGAAGAACAGAAGACATCAGCGCTCGCCCTGTGCGTTGGGCCCCGGCTGGAGGTAGGGAGGGAGACAGCATCCTTCGGAAAGCAGGGTGTGGGTGCCCCGAGCCTGCCTGAGGCCAACAGAGGCAAAAGCAAACAGACCCGGAAGACATTAGAAAAGAGAGAGAAGAGGACACCCAGGGACCCTGTTTAAGGATTGGGAGATGCTGTGAAAAGGTCTACATGTCTGGGTTCTCTTGGAACCTGCGAGACCAGCTCTGCCAGGCCCTGGGATGCCCGCCCCTCCTGGGACCCTGTGGCCTGTCCCACATCCTGGGCCCGGCAGCGGACTTCCCCACGCCGTCACCAGGAATGTCCCACAGGGGACACGGTCCCTGAGTCACTTGGATTTTCTAATCTTCTCTTCTTTTTTACAAATAAGTTGGGAGGATTTTTAAAGGGAACACTGTAAGTTATTATTAAATCCAGTCACAGAAATCATAGCTACACAACTCTTTAACAAATCGGAAGCCCATTGCGTGGTTTTCAGTGTTGCCGTGGCAACGTTTGTGGCAGACGCGATCAGAGCCCTCACAACATCGTCCACCCAGTACGAGTTCCTACGGGCACTAGGTTTCGCCCAGGATCCCCGTTCCTGGCCATGGTCACACTGCACAGTTAGTACACTCTCAGTGTCGCCTACGTGAGCGGTTTAAAATGCAAATCCCACGGAGGTTCAGGATCGTCTCCATTATGAAGCTGCGTGCACATTCCCATAAACCAGGGAGGAGTCGCGGGACGCCCTCCCCCCACAGCAGGACCCGGCCCTGGGGCATAAGTGCCTGAGCAGCGGGGCACGGCCCCGAGCAGGAGCCAGCGCTGGGCACAGGAGTCTCCTCCCCAAGGGCCCTGCGGGCAGCGCGTGCCACCCGGCACAGGGCCGCGGAACCTGCGCGGGGACACCGAGGGCGGAAGGAAACCCTTCTCGCCGCTGCTCCGGTTCCGGGTGCGCCCGGATGACCGGGGCGTGGCCTGAATGATGGGGCGTGGCCTGGATGACCGGGGCGTGGCCTGGATGACGGGGCGTGGCCTGAATGATGGGACAGGGCCTGGATGACCGGGGCGTGGCCTGAATGATGGGGCGTGGCCTGGATGATGGGGCGTGGGTTCCTCCACCCACACAGGGACAGCTGGTTTCGTCCTTTCAGCAGCGGCGGTGACACACGGGGGGGTAAGAGCCAGACCAAGGAACCTCTCGTGCGCTCCCGCCCGGCAGGTGACGCGCGGGGAACAGGCCAGGGCTGCCGAAACCCGCCCGCTCTGGGAACGAGTCAAACATCAGGGTCCTGCACGTGCCCCTGCAAAGACGCTAGTCTCCATCTCCTCCCTGGGGGGTCAGAGGTGGCGCACCGGGCCGGGGCCGGGGACGAGAGGGGATCTCACAGGGCTGGTCCTCCTGTGACAGGACAGGGAGCCGGAGCGGAGAAAGTGCGTACCTGCTGGGAAGTCACTGTCCTGAGCCTCATTTGCACCATCTGAAAAAGCAAAGGAAAAGGACGAGTCAACCAAGTCAGCGCCCGAGGTCAACACAATGAAGGCTAAACTCGCAGCTCCTTCTTCTAGGGCAGGAACTTCTCCCAAAGCCTCACAGTATGCATCCCCAGTCACGCCCCCCTTCCTGCGCCCGTCCCGGCTGGTCCCCGCCCTGCCGTCTCCACAGGACTCACAGTCGTCTGCGTCCATGTCTCTCCATTCCAAATCTGCAAGAAAGCACACACACGTTGACCTTTGTCAACACGCTAAGACCTTTCTTCCTAAAGTCTCGAGTTTACTTTTAGTGTGGGGACTGGCTTGGGTCCTTCCTACATAAATTTGTTTTCCAAACCCAAACACAACACAGAGTAGCGAGAACTACATGCAGGACAGCAATTTTCTCCAGAACATACTCCTGTAAGAATTTACTGAAGTTTCTGAAAATAAGATATAAATAAGTTCATGACACTTATGTTGATTAATCTTGGATTTTTAGAAACTATTTAAAACATAAGTCAATATAAATTCCTTGGTTCAGTTTCAAATTGAAACATCATTTTTACTTTTTTAAAAAATTACTTATTTATTTATTTGAGGGCAGAGAGCAAGCGAGCACAGGGAGGCACAGAGGGAGGGGGACAAGCAAGACTCTGTGCTGAGCGTGGGGCCCAACATGGGGCTTGATCCCAGGACCCTGAGATCATGACGTGAGCGGACGCCAAGATTCGGACGCTCAGCTGACCGAGCCACCCAGCTGCCCCATTGTGCACTTTTATATTGTTCTGATCCAAGTAAAACTATCATCTAATCCAAAATGAAAATTACATTTTTAAAGCTTATGAATCGAGAAAAGATTCTGCTATTTTCAGATTAATTCCTCCCATGATTTCCATATAGTCAGGCAGATAAACAGATGTTTCAAACAGTCTTTTTGACGGGGTCTCTGGAGACCGACATGAGAAACAAGGGAGAGAAACAGGAAATCACAAGAGATGACTCACACACATCAAACTGCAATATCGAGCAATAAAAGATTATTTTACTCAAAGTGGAGAAAAGACATCAGAAGAATTTTTTCAAGGAATTCAAAATGCCCTCCAAGAAAATACAGCAGTTAAAGGGCGGGACAAGACAGGGAGAAAAGCCCAGAACGAGCTGCAGGGAACCCTGAGAGCAGCTGTGAGCAGGGGTCAGGGAGTAAACCTCAGACCCAGGCCTCGCCTCGTTAGGGATGGGACACAGCCCTGATGGGACCAGACAGATTACAGATGACAGCAAGGAGGCCCGTAGCCAGAGGGTCCACCTTTCGAACTGTGGGAACCACCGAGGGGCGGGAGAGCGTCGTGGTCCACGGGCAGAGACAGCTGGGAGCCTGGGTTCGCACCGGTGGGCAACAGAGGACACAGCAGGATTTCAGGTGGGGACACAGCAGAAGCGTCCTCACCAGTACATGCTCTTGGTCTCTCTCCACGTGACAGTGGCCATGCAGTGGGGGTGAGTGGTGGTGGGGCTGTGGTTTGCCCCTGCAGGTGCTCACTGCCCGTTCAAACACCACCTCCAGAGAAATGTCCCTTCAGGTCCTTTGCCCATTTGTGAATCACATCGGTTTCGTGGCGGACTTTCAGGAGCTCTCCGGATACTCTGGATATTAATCCCTCGTCAGACACATGGTTGGCAAACACTGTCTCCCATTCTGCAGGTGCCCTTTCTGTGCCGTGGAGAGTGTCCTCCGCGGCCAAAATGTTTATCTTTCCACGCGGTCTCGTTTGTCCCATTCTGTTCTTGTGGACTTTTCTGAGGCATCACCTCCCGGAAGTCGCCGCGCGTCCAAATGCATGAAGCTTCTGACCAGTGTGTTCTTCCAAGTGTTTTGTTGTTTTAGGGCTTACATTTAGGATGACCCTGATCCATTTTTGCCTTAACTCTTGTCCATAGTGTTGGGTAAGGGTCATGTAAACATCCAGCTTTCCCAGCACCGTGTGCTGAAAAGACTGTCCTGTACCCGGTGAGTGTCCTTGGCACTCTGGTCCAAAATCACTTGACCACACACCTGAGGGTCCGTTTCTGGGCTATTTCACAGGTCTGGACACGTGTCTGGACGCCAGCACCACGCTGTTTTGACTGCTGTCGCTCTGCTGGTTTTGACGGCAGGAGCGTTGAGTCCTCCGGTTCAGTACGTGCTGCCGAAGCGAGCACGAGTTCGGTTCGTTTCTCCTTCCTCAAGACTGTCTTGGCTCTTCACCGGCCCTTAAGATCTCATGCGAAGGACGGGCTTTTCCTTTTCTGCAAAATGTCACTGGATTGTTGACAGGCACTGCAATCAGTCTGCACATCACGTTGGGTGTCACTGACATGGGACAATTGGGTGTCCCATCCATGAACATGGGATGTGTTTCCATTTGCTTTTGTCTATTGTAATTTCTGGCAGCAACCTTCTGTACTTTCATTGTACGAGTCTTTCAGTTCCTTGATTAATTCCTAAGTGTTTTATTCTTTTTGATGCTACTGGAAGTGGAACGTTTTCTGTGATTTCCTCTTCCGTGTCTATAGAAATGTAACTGATTCTTGTGTGTTGGCTTTGTATCCTCCCTTGCCTGAATTTAATTATTAGCTTTAACAGGTTTTTGTGAAATCTTTGGGATTTTCTACACAAGATGACATCACCTGCCAACAGAGATCATTTCAACCCTTCCTTTCCAGTTTGGATGCCTTTTAGTGATTCTTCTCCCCCAGCTGCTCTGCCTGGGGCTTCCTGTACGCGGCTGGATGGGAGCGGTGATGATGGCCTCCCCCTCTCGTTCCTGATCTTAGAGGAGAAGCTCAGTTTCACACTGCTGGGGTTGTCCATGTGTGGTTTTATCACGTGGAGGTGGCTTCCATCTACTCCTACTTGGTACCTACTTGGTAGAGCATTTTTTTTTTTATCAAAATAAGGGTGTAGGGAATTTGATCAAATGCTTTTTCTGTGTCAACTGAGATCATCATTTATCTTCCCCTTCATCTTGCTGACACCACTGATGAGTTTTGCATCGATGGTCCTAAAGGATATCGGTCTATAGTTTCCTTTCCTTTGTCCGACTTTGGTTATCGGGGTTGTACTGGCGTCAAGAGTGAGTTAGGAAGTTTTCCCTCCCTTCAGTTGTTGAAGAAGTGTCAGAAGCAGAAACATTTGTCGAATTCACCAGTGAAGTCTTCAGGACCAGGGTTCATCCTTGTCAGGAAACGCTTTATCACAGATTGAGTCTCCTTACTAGTTACGGGTTTACTCAGACTGCTCGTTTCTGTGTGATTGAGTCTTGGTAGGTTTTATGTTCCTGGGGATCTGTCCTTTCCATCCAGGCTAAGTAATTTTTTGGCATACAATTACTCACAGTACTCTGTTATAATCCCTCTTACTTCTGTAGAATCGGTAGTAATGTCCCATGTCCACATCTAATTTTAGTGATTTGAGTACTCTCTGCTTTTTTGTCAACATAGCTAAAAGTGTGTCAGTGTTGTTGATCTTGTCCAATAAGCCACTTCTGGTTTCGTTGATGTTTTGTACCGCTTTTCTACTCTGTCTCATTGATCTCTGCTCTAATCTTTATTATTTCCTCTGTTTGCCAGCTGTGGGTTTCATTTGTTCTTCTTCTAGTTCCTTAAGTTGTAAAACTGTGTTGTTCTCATTTGTCTCTAAGTATTTTCTAACTCCCTTGAGATTTCCTCTTTGATATACTAGTTAGAAGTCTGTGTTTAGTGTCCACAATTTAAAAACATTTTTCGTTTTATGCTATTGATTTCTAATTACTTCCCACTGTGCTCACTTTGTCTGACATCTGTCTCCTGACATCTATGCAGACTTCATCTGTGGACCTGGTGGATCCACGCTTGAAAGTGTCCCGTGTACACTTGAGAAGAACGCGTGTGCCAGGGTGAAGCACTGCATCTGTTTGATGAGGGTGGGTTACTGTGTTGTTTAAATCCTCTGTTCCTTTCTCGTCTTCCAACTGGGTGTTCTGCCATTATTGCAAGGAGGTATTAAGGTTCCCAACTAAAGCTGTAGAGCTATTACTCCCTTCAATTCTATCACTTTTTGCTTCAAATATTTTGATGGTCTGTCACTGGATGTGCAAATGTTTAATTATATCTTCGTGCTGTACTGAGACCTCTATTAATACACAACATCCTTATCTGTCTCGAAAACGTCTTTATGTGCACTCCGTTCTGTCTGGTATTAGTATAGCCGCTCCTACTACCCAAGGGTTACTGTCTGCACGGAGGGACCTTTCTCCAGCCTCCCACTCTCAAACCGTTTGTATCTTCGGCTCTTGAGTGAGTCTCCGTAGACAGCATATAGTGGGATCCGTTCTGCCCATCTCTGTCTTTTTCCTGGAGACAGCAATCCCTTTCCATTTGAAGTAGTCACTGATAAGGAGGCATTACTCTGTCATTGCGCTGTTGGTTTTCCTATGTCCTGTTTACATGCAAAACTCTATCCCCTGACATTCTGTCGCCACCTCTTTGGGTGCTGACATCACAAATCACAGCTTCATACACTGACTGCCCAGAACATAAGCTAACAATTCTGTCAAAGGCATTAGTCTCAGAAGTTAGAGAAAACAAGATCTGGAGTTACGAACCAAAGTTGCAGTGATACTAGATCTACATTTTAAAATTTTTCTTTAAATGAATTAGTCTTTTCAGTCATTAAGAAATCAGGAAGCACAGTTATGAGCCATCATTAAAATTGTTAAATTAGCTATTAGAACTGCCAGGAATTTCCCCTTACTGAGATCTTTGCTTCTTGAAACGGCTTCAAGTCCTTCTCTAGGACCCTTTCCTTCTGCCCTCGGGTCTCGCTGGAGCACCTCCTGCAGGTGCCCGGGTCTCCCTCAGCTTTTGTTCCCCTGGGAATGTTTGTTTCTCCCTCACTCTGGAAGGACATATTTGCTGGATACAGGATTCTTAACTCACAATTTCTTCTTTGGTTTAGCACTTTAAATATATCTGCCTGCCAGCACTTAATTATATCTGGCTGTCTTGCGGCCTCCGAAGTTTCTGACTGAGAAATCGAGAGATGATCTCGGAGGGCCGTGGGTGTGGATCACCTGCTGCTCCGCTGCTTTCTAAACTCACGCTTTGTCCTCTGAAGATGAGCTTCGACGCGCCTCCATGCGGGTCTCTTCAAATTCATCCTACTTGGGGTCTCCTGAGCTTCCTGCACTTTGTGCTCGTGTCTGTGTAAGTTCTCAGCCGGGGGGCGCCCAGGAGGGTCAGTGTTAAGTGTCTGCCTTCGGCTCAGGTCATGGTCCTGGGATCCTGGGATCGAGCCCCGCATCGGGCTCCCCGCTTCACCCTCTGCCGCTCCCCCTGCTTGTGCTCCCTCTCTCACTGTGTCCCTCTGTCAGATAAATAAAATCTTAAAAAAAAAAGTTGTTGTTCTCAGACATTATTTCTTCAATTTTCTCTTGCCCCTTCCTGTGTCTCTCTTCTCCCTCTGGGACGCCCACAACAAGCACCTACTGATGGCATCGGACAGGGGCTCGAGGCTCTGTTCGTTTTCCTTCAATCTTTCCTCTCTCTGGTCCTCAGCCTCCAGACGCCCCATTTTCCTGTCTTTAAGTTCACGGATTCCTTCCCCCACCGCCTCTTTCTGCCTCCGAACCCCACAAGTGAGGTTTTCATTCTGGCAACTGTACCTTTCCCTCGGTCTCTCGGGCTTTCCAGCTCCTTACCGATGCTACAGTTTCGTTCACACGTCGCGCCCCTGCCTTCCTGCACACCTTCCTCTAGATGCGCCAGCATCTCAGGACCGTCGTCGTAAAGCCTTCATCTGATACGTCTGCCGCTGCGTCTCTTCAGAGACAGCCGTGGATCAGTTACACTCCCTCCCTGAGCGGGCCAGACTTCCCTATCCCGTGCGTCTCCTGGGATTCCGCTGCCGCACACTGGACATCTGAATCTAATAGCGCGGTAACTCTGGAAACCAGGTTCCTCCCACCTCTCCCGGGGCTTACTGCTTTTCGTTATTGTCTTTGTCTGCGGGATCATCGGAGGCGATCTCTATGCCCGGGATCAAACGGAGGTGTACAAGTTAGGTCCTCCAAGGTCTTTTCTGAGACTTTCTTTGGGAACACACAGTCACTTTCTAATTTTCCCATATTTGCAGTTGTCTCCCCAAAGGGGGAAAGAGCAAAAAGTTCATGGGAGGCAGGACGCTGGCCTGGAAATGCCCTGGAAGTCACTTCAGCTGGCAGGGGGAGGGGCTGGCAACCATGAGGCCCTCTGCGTCTGCACCTCTGTGACCAGAAGCGGCACAGCAGAGCTCCTGGTACCCGGACAGGGTTCTCTCTGCCCACTCCAGCTTGTTTCCACCCGCCGTGTGTGCACGGCTGCCTGCTGCTCGTCCAGAAATGGGAGACGGGGCGCTGATACCGTGCCGAAAGATAAAGTCGACCGAATTAGCTGGAAACTTATTCTCCACGTTTTCCCCTGCAAGCTGCAGAGCTCCAACCAATTCCAAAGCCACAGCACAGTTCACGGAACCTTCCGGCCAGGGCAACCGTCCGGCTTAGGAGCCAGGTTCCCAGTGCTTCCCATTCTGCCATCTCCCCAGAATCCTCATCGTAGCTTTCTAAAACCTCCTTTCATGAATGAGCTATGGGGCTCCTGGGTGGCTCAGTGGGTTAAGCCTCTGCCTTCAGCTCGGGTCGTGATCTCAGGGTCCTGGGATGGAGCCCCACATTGGGCTCTCTGCTCAGCGGGGAGCCTGCTTCCCCCCATCTCTGTCTCTGACTGCCTCTCTGCCTACTTGTGATCTCTGTCTGTCAAATAAATGAATAGGATCTTTAAAAAAAAAAAAAAAGAAAGAAAAAGAATGAGCTATGAGGTAACTGGCATCCTCAGACTTGAGAGAAGGTAATACACTCCGTAGGACGATTGTACACAGCACAACTAATCTACACTTTCCGGAAATGCGAGCACGCTTCTCCGGCAGAAGCAGGTGGGGAGAGGCGTCCTGGGGGGATGACATGCTCGGCTTCCTCATCCGGGTGCTGCTCCAAACAGGTGCGTTCCCGCTTGTGAAATGCATCAAGCTACACGCTGGTAAGATGGGCACTTTTCCGCGTGCATATCAAGCGTCAGTATAAGTTTTCTTTTTGAAGGGTTGGCTTTCAGTCTTACTAACAAAACATGCCGCAGAGGAAGTCACCTACCTCAAGAAGAAAATTTAAAAAAAATAATTATGGGTGGGCACCTGGGTGGCTCAGTGGGTTAAAGCCTCTGCCTTCGGCTCAGGTCATGATCCCAAGGTCCTGGGATCGAGCCCCACGGCGGGCTCTCTGCTCAGCAGGGAGCCTGCTTCCCCCCGCCCCCGCCTGCCTCTCTGCCTACTTGTGATCTTTCTCTGTGTGTCTAATAAATAAATAAAATCTTTTTAAAAAGTAATAATAATTATGGGAGGCTTCTTCACTGGACACATAATGAAGATGAACCTGGGGAAGCACCAGAGTGTGTCTGAGCCTCGGTTTCCCCAAGTAGAACAAAGGACTCCGATAACTAACCTCATGGCAGCATCCAGGGAGGCAACCGTGTCTCCTGAGGCCACCCCAGCTGTCCCCCCAGTCTCCCTAGAGCAACACTCTCACTCCCACAGAACTGCCTGTGAAAAAGGACACATTCTCTGTCTGCGCCGGCCCAAGAGCACCATGTGCCTCACTCCTCAGCACCGGAAATACTGCTAGTGTCACTCAGCAGCGCAATGGTTAGCACTGCTCAAATCTGCACCGTGTGCCCAGTGGCTACTGTACTACACATCCTGAGAAACTGCAGGGCTTTGGCCAATTACTGCCACTGGACCCCAATTTTGCTGTGAGGCTTGTCCTGGCCATTAATCCCCCCAGCGCGCACATTCTAGAACGTAAGTTCCAGGAAGACGAGGCGTCGGGGCCACTTTGTTCACCACCGTTTACTATACTCACAGTGCCTTCTACAACACCTGCTCATTAACTGTTCAGTAAATATTTGTTTAAGTGAATAAAATAAAACAAAATTTGGTTAATCCAAACACCTTTGCCTATTTTTGTGGGACTATCTTTGCAAGACACTATTAAATCCAACAGGACTTACTTATTTTCCAAAGTGCCGAATTAATGATAAATCCAAAACGAGTTTCTCAGAGGAAAGATGTGTGGAGTGTGGCCACAACACGTTAAAGCTGAAGTCATGAGGGGCAGCCACAGACCCGGTCCCCGGGTGCACGGAGACTGAGCCCACACGAAGAGCAGACGCCCCAGCCTACCCAGGACAGGCCCAGTTCACAGCCGTTGTCCCAAGCCAACACTCAGGAGTGCCCAGGTCAGAAACTAGACAGTCGCCCTAAGCCAGACCCGAGGTGGCAGTTGTGACGTGCTTGGATTGGGACAATATGTTCCTGGTAAACTGTGGGATAATCACCGGTGTGAAATGAATCCTCTTAGGAAAAACCACAGCCTTCAGCCCTGTATGTCTGTGGCGTGTGCTCCCCTACCCCGGGCGTTCCGGAACCCAGAACCCGCCCCAGAGCTGCAGGACGGGTGCCAGCCCCACGCTACCTGCGATGGCCACCGCTGTTCGTCTCTCAGATGCTTTTATTTCTGGGGCCACTTCTCCCAAATCTGCACGTCTGAAACAATTGCAAAAGAAAGTTGTAATTAAAATAATGAAGTAATGCTACAAGTTGAATCTACCTATTAAGTTAGCTGCATATCAGAATCTCTGATCCTCTTGGGGGAGCTTTAAAAACTACAAATCCTGGCCACACCCCAGACCACCGAAACCAGACCAGGGGGGACGGGCCTGGGCATAAAAAACAGCTCCTAGGAGCGCCCCCGAGGATTCCCACGTGCAGCCGCGGCCGAGAAGCGGCCGAGAAGCGCCCGTCTGGACAGACCGGCACCTGCCGCCACCGCAGGCTAGGGCACAACTCGCCGTTCAAAAAGACATAAAAATATACATACCCTTTGACCAGTAATTCCACTTCTACCCTAAGGAAATAATTAAGATTTAGTTACAAAGGTGTTGATGTCAGCTTTACACATAATAGCGAAAACCTGGGTGCCTTTTAAAATCTAAGCCCAATTACGGGGAAGTACGGTACCGTCTTGGCCTGCAGCCATTAGGAAACAGCGTATCGATTTCACTTTGTGGACAGAAAGATGCTGGATGACGTTATGTAATGACGTTAATGGCATGTATATGACTGGGAAGAAATACATGAATACTTACAGTGAGAAAATGTACAGTATGATGACGTTTTAATGAAATTGTGTGTATTTATGTTTTCGTCTATAGGTTTTTAAGGAGCTCTAGAAGGACGGCTCATCAAAAGTTAATAGTGTGGGCAGGGAGGGGCGATCCTGAATTCTTTTAAGCGGATCTGGTAAATGTAGTCCATTTAAGAATAAACTATTTTAGGTTTATTGTAGGAATGAGTAAACGTGTTGATTTTATCAGGAGCCACACGTCACTGTTGAAGAAGGACCTACGAATGTGGGAAGAAGGTGGGGCACCCAGGGGCTCACACGGTGAAGCGTCGGACTTTAGCTCAGGTCACGATCCCAGGGTCCTGGGAGCGAGTCCCGCAGCATTGGGCTCCCTGCTGAACAGGGAACCTGCTTCTCCCTCTCCCGCTCCCCTCCCCCTGCTTGCGCGCTTTCTGTCTCTCTGTCAAATAAATAAATAAAATCTTTTAAAATCTTTAAAAACAGCAAAACAAATATGGAAAGAAGTAAGAGGGGACTCTCAGGGCCAAGCTGGAACCAGAGGCGCAGCGTGAACACGCGACTTCCACACACGTGCTAGTGTACAAGCCCACGCGTGTGCACACTGGCGGCTACACGCACGCCTTCCAGCTCCGCCCACCGAATGGGCCAAAAACCAAAGACACTACAGAGGAGCGATGAGCACACCAAGCGCCCTTTAACCCCTTGCACACCAAGAGACATTTCTCCTTGGAGAAACGGCCGGTGCCAGACCCGGGGCAGGGAGAGAGTAAGAGGGGTTTGAGCATCTGATTTCAGAACAGAAGGAAGTGCTCGGGGCGCCTGGGGGCTCAGCGGGTAAAGCCTCTGCCTTCAGCTCAGGTCATGATCTCAGGGTCCTGGGATCGAGCCCCGCGTCGGGCTCTCTGCTCCGCAGGGAGCCTGCTTCTCCTTCTCCCTCTGCCTGCCTCTCTGCCTGCTTGTGATCTCTGTCTATCAGATAAATAAATAAAATCTTTAAAGAGAAATAAAGAAAAGAAGGAAGTGCTCAAAAAAAAGCTAGGGCATGCCAAGGAACACAGGAGCTGGCCCGTCCGGGCCATCGGGCTCAGACACAATAAATACAGTAGTTGGTGAGAACCCGCCGAGAGACAGGAACCAGGGAGTCCACACGGGTGATAAATAGGCAAGCTGGGGGCGGGGCCGGGGGCTCAGGAGCATCTGACGTGTGACAGCGCCGCCGTAGGACCGCGTCATTCTGCAACACTCCCAGCCTCAGTGAAGGTCGGCTCAAGCCACAGACGCCAACAAACGCCAGCTCTGAGAAGACCGTGTGGGACCGGGAGCAAGGTGCTGCCCGGTTCCAGCACGGCTCCTCACCGAAGCTCCTCTGGTGCCGGGAGAAGAGCCCTAGCGATGGTAACGCAGGCCCTTGGGGAGCCGGATCAGGGACGGGTGACGCAGACGGCCACTGGGTGCCCCAGCTGCCCCGCCCGGAGAGCGTCCCCGGCCCTGCTCTGACCACGGGGGCAAATCCAACATGGAAAGTTGCACACGATCCCCAAGGACAAATGTCACCAAGGAGCAGCCAAGGACGGGAGAGATGCTCCGGACTCCACGTCTGAGGGTGCCGCCGCCCCGAAGCCCACACTGGGTCCCCCAACGCAGGGGACACTTGGGGTCCAGGGATAGAACTGAGGCACAGGTGCTGTGGGCGCCGCCAACGGGTCAGGAGGACACGGACGGGTGTGGGCCGCTGACATGCACACGTACCCTCTAATGGTTTAGAGAATCGAGACGCACGAGTGTGCGTGACAGAAACAGGAACGCTGCGAGGCGGGGGACGGGAAGTGAGAGTGTAAGTGAGAACACCAGCAAGACGCACTCCGCACAGGAAGCCTGTTATTTTTATAATTCAGCTCTAGGTACCAACTGTTTTCATAAAAATTGTAGAATTGTAATAGTGGGTGGCAGGCACATGCGTTTACTCTGTCCTGTTTGCGTTTCTTCACGCAGAAGGAAGCGTCGACTGGTTAAGACCGGAAGAGCGACGAGGAGGACGCAGGGAGCAGGGTCTGGGTCAGAGAGAGACATGCGGGTGCCCCGAGGACACCGGGTTCTCCGCGGCCTCTTGCACCGCGCAGACCCCGAACCCATGCAAGGACCCGCATGGACACAGCGACCCAGCTCCCCTTTTCCTGCAGCAAAACATATGAAATCCACCCTCCCGGGGGAAGCCCCGGAGCCCCGGCTGGCTCTTCCGGCATGTTCTCTGGGTGCCTCGTCCTCTGCCCGCCACGGTCACTGTGTTCGTGGCTTTCAGCCCCTGTCCAGTGCACAGCACTAAGCAGCACTCAGACCCTGATGCTGATTAAAAAATGAGAAATACTCATTGCTTTTGTAGTAAGAAAAAAAACCCTTAAAAAGAGACAACAGGACAACAGGTTAAAACTAGCCCCAGAGCAGAAGCTGCCTGGCCTGGCGGCCGCACACACATCACTAACCACCCACCCCCCCAGCACACGGGCTCCCTGGACGGGAGCTGAAACCCAACCCACCACTTCCCACACAGAAGAGCACACAGGTGACAGTGTCACAGGGACGGGCTGAGCTTGCGCGAGCTCATCGACGCGCACACAGAATTCCGCCCAGCAGCAGCAAAGGCCAGGCACAATCGCATCCATGAGCTTTGAGCCCCGTGCAGGGCCCAGCCTGGTAGGGGACAGCAGAGGCCCAGCTTTGTCCCGTGCTGTCCGCTTGACAATGACTCCACCTGCAATGCTAGCACGGCCTGAACTGTGCCCAAACCCCAGTGCGGAAACCCTGGCTCCCGATATCCCGGATCTGGAGAGGGGGCCTGTGACATCGGGTCTTTGTCCCCCTTTCTGGCACACAGCTCCTAAACGTGAGTTGTGCAAGTACCGAAGGACGGGGGCACACTGCCCGGGGAGCCAACTGTGCACTTGGCATTTTCAGTCCCACCTTCTCCCACGTCCAGGCATCAATCACCAGTCACCGGTGGCCAATGAGTCAAGAAAGCGTGCCCGTGTCACGAAGCCCCCATCAGACCCCCGGGGGGACAGGGCTCCGAAGCTTCCGGTCGGTGCACACGAGAGCCGGTGAGCAGCGGGCTCCCAGAGGGCTCAGAGGCCCCCTGCCCCTTCCGACAGACTCGCCCCGTGCACAGCTCCCCTCGGGCCATTCCCGGGCCACATCCTGTTAGAAGGGTCATCTGGTAACGAAAATATTTCCCTGAGTTCTGTGGGTCACGCCAGCAAATTCATGGAACCCAAGGAGGGGTCACGGGAACCTGTGATTTACAGCCGGTCGGCCCCACAGACAGGTGGTGACCCAGACTCTTGCCACTGGAATGCTAGGCTGGAGCTGCTCACGGGACCCCCTGTCTGTCGCCGGCAGCCATAGCACAGCAGCGTGTGTAGTGGGGGTGGGAGCCGGCGGCAGGGGGTCCCACAGGACTGAGAGAGGCCTCAGGAGAACCCAAAGCTGCCCACACAGCCATGGGGGTGTCCAGCCTCCAGGATGGTGGGAAACCACCTCCTGTCGCTGAAGATGCCTGGCCCACGGGCCTGGTGATGGCGCCCTGAGCAGATGACGGTAAGACCCAAACCGTCCTTGCTGACACCGCCCCGCCAGACCCACACATGAGTCTTCTGGTTCCCTCCAGGCCCGTTACTTCTAAGACTCGGAGAGATTTTAGGGGACTTGCACTTGTAGCCAGTAATCACAAGAGTCCTGACAATCAGACCGTCTACCCGCTCCCAGCCCAGCTCCCGGGCCTGCGGCCAAGCCTGGGGGGGCCAAGTGCGCTCTCCGGAGCCCCGGACGCAGCCCCGGGGGCTTTCCGCAAAGCAGGCCTGCAGAACCACTACTATCATTAGTATCTTTTCTGACCCCCAAATAAGACAAATACAAAATACAGAAAAGTAGCAAGAAAATGCCTTTGCCATTTTGAAAATGACTCACCATGTTAATCAGTCCTCTCCCCCTCTCGTCCAGTCACATTGCTGTCGCTCCTTCTGGCCACTGACTCTAGCCTCCGGCTTCCCTAAGGCCCTCCGTCCCCTAGACTGAAGGGAGCCCCACGGAGGGGTCAGTCTTCTCGTGCGATGCGAGCACGGTGCAGAGCCAGACATGGAGCCCAGCTCAGTCCTGCTGGACACTGGGGGCACAGAGACGCACCGTGATGCTGACCAGACCTGGGGGTCTCCGTGCACAGACAAGGGGTGACCTGCCCACGGCCCCGAGCACCCCGAGCGTCTAGCAGCTCTTCCTCACTAAGTCAATGAGCGCACGTTCCGGCCTGCGCCCTTCGAAGGCTCCCTTCGGGCCTGCAGGGGCAAGGGGGGCCCGGGCAACTCGGCGGCCTCACTGGCCACGTCTCCTGGGGGGCACAGCCGGGCATCCTGTCCTCATCTGTCCGCCCAGCAGCTCGGCCTGCAGGACTTTTCCACCTACACCTGGGGATTCCGATTCCAGGGACCTCGATGTTCCGGGCTCGGACCACAGAGACACCGGCCCCTGCAGAGCTCAGGGCCGTTGGACCAGAACGGACCATCCGACCCTCGTGAGCAGGGCTGATGCCCAGTGACAGACCCAGCCCCTTCAGCAGCCGGTGCTGAGGACACAGAGAAAACCACCCCAAACAGGAGGATACGGGACAAACAGGGCAGTGGCCCTGACCGTCATGCAGTCGGCGACAGACAAGGAATTGCTTTGGGTAATAAAAGGTCTGACGGGATGTTTGCCGTTTGATGCCGGCAGCT